TAGTTGGAGTCCTCTTCCAGACTCCTCGTCATGTCCGTGATCTCATCCGGGACACTGAACAAACTTCGGTCATCAAATCACATAACTCATAATACAAATCGTCATCGAACGTTAAGCATGCGGATCCTACGGATTCGAGAACTATGTAGACATGACCGAGACACATCTCCGGTCAATAACCAATAGCGGAACCTGGATGCTCATATTGGCTCCTACGTATTCTACGAAGATCTTTATCGGTCAATCCGCATAACAACATACATTATTCCCTTTTTCAGCGGTATGTTACTTGTCCGAGATTCGATCGTCGGTATTATCATACCTAGTTCAATCTCGTTACCGGCAAGTCTCTTTACTCGTTCCGTAATGCATCATCCCATAACTAACTCATTAGTCACATTGCTTGCAAGGCTTATAGTGATGTGCATTACCGAGAGGGCCCAGAGATACCTCTCCGATACTCGGAGTGACAAATCCTAATCTCGATCTATGCCAACTCAACAAACACCATTGGAGACACATGTAGAGCATCTTTATAATCATCCAGTTATGTTGTGATGTTTGATAGCACACAAGGTGTCCTCCGGTATACGGGAGTTGCATAATGTCATAGTCAGAGGAACATGTATAGTCATGAAGAAAGCAATAGCAATAAAACTAAACGATCATTATGCTAAGCTAACAGATGGGTCTTGTCCATCACACCATTCTCTTATGATGCGATCACGTTCATCAAATGACAACACATGTCTATGGCCAGGAAACTTAACCATCTTTGATTAATGAGCTAGTCTAGTAGAGGCATACTAGGGACACTCTGTTTGTCTATGTATTCACACATGTACTAAGTTTCTGGTTAATACAATTCTAGCATGAATAATAAACATTTATCATGATATAAGGAAATATAATAACAACTTTATTATTGCCTCTAGGGCATATTTCCTTCATTATGATGATAAGTTGTTAATGATATGATGATGATGATGATGATGATGATGAGTTATTATATCATTGGGTGAAAGAACCGCGGATTAGTTTCAAGTGATGTAATAACTTATTATGATGTAAAAACAATCTCTAAATTGCTACTATATGAAAACTTGTATAATGGTGTATGAATACGACATAAAATAAAAAAATTAATAGAATATGTAATAATAGTAGTAGTGCGGGCAGAGAAGCGCGCTGCTAGTACTTACCAGGAGCGCTTTCTGCAAGACGCACTACTAACCCACGCTACTGGTAACCTTTAGTTGTAACGTCCCTCGTTACTGCTAGGCCAAAAACTAACGCTACTGCTAGGCTTTTTCTTAATAGTGTGTCCCTATCCCACCTCCTACTTTTTGCCGGTGTCCGACACCTAGCCGTGGACGTTGTCTGTCAAGGTGAGGTCGACAATCAATGTGCACGGTCCGGCCTTGTGGTCATTTCTGCCCAGCGCGAACGACGTGGAGCTGCTCGTCGACGAAGCCCGAATCCTCCACGACCATCATGACGACAGCCTACTCGATCGCCAAAGATTTTGCCGTACGGGGGCCAATGCTGCATGAGGAGCTGCAAATTCTATGGATGCTCCTCCTGCAGCACCTCGAACGAGGAAACCGGCGGCGGCGCGCCTACTCTTGTTGCTCCTCCGCCGGCAAACTCAAAATAATTTAAAATTTTGTGTTCACATTATAAAATCTGTGAACTTTTTTGAAACCAGAGAACATTTTGAAATTTGTGTTTTTTTTTAAATTGAAACATTTTTTGAATTCCAGGGAAAAAATATAGTTTGTAAATATTTTACGAAATTGATTTCTTTTTCAAATTTGAGAACATCTTTTGAAATCGCAACTTTTCTAAAGAAGAAAAAATACAAAAGCACAAGAGAAATAAGGAAATAAAAACAAAAAACAAAAGCATTGGCACTCGCATGGGATCCGGCTTGCCTGCTCCCTTTCCATGCTCCCATCCGTGCTCCCACTTCATCATACGGCTGTCCTTTTCCCTTTTTCTTTTCTAATCTAATCATCTCCCCCCCTGATTTTCAGGGGGTGGGGCCGGGTCTTATTTTCTTCCAATCAAATCAAGCCACGTAGGCGGGAGCACGGATGGGAGCATGGGAAGGGAGCAGGCAAGTCTCGTCCACTCGCGTGGGAGCAGGAGGTGCGCGTTTGGGCGATGCGAGTTGCCCTATGCGGGGAATAGGAGATACTCGTAACATTATTACTGATTTAGTTCTTCTTCTTCTCATTACTGATTTAGTTTTCTATTAAGGTAGGCCCTGTTTTGGTGTTTCGTAAAGGGCCTTTGATTTGGACGACCCGGCCCTGGTCCATCTTCCATGTCGCATGGCATCTTCTTTATAGTTTTCTCTATTTTGTTAATGTACAGTGAAATAAAAAAAATACAAAGAGAAAGCAACACGGCAAAAAAATTGTACTAGAATTAGGCTAGGTGTAGAGGTGCGAGATTCCATCCAAAGCTCCTCTTTGAAACAGTAGAGCCACTAGAACAGTTCCTCACCTCCTGATCAAAAAAGAACAGTTCCTTACCTTAAATACGACTGAGCGCCTGTGGTGGGAGAGCTGGTCGACGTAGTTAGGTCATGATCGATCTAACTCAGCGCCGGCCCTCGGCCGAGTTGGTCACATGCAATAGCAATAACATACTGTACTACCAATACATGCCGGGTCTTTCTGTGATTCGATCATGGTTGGCGATCGGCTTGGAGTACGTCGTAGGAAACATGACGCACGTACTAGTAGGAAGAGCAGGAAGGAACCTTTCAACGTGATGGAAACCAGAGAAGGGAACATGCATGCACGGTCGGCACGTGACGAATATACAAAGGCTGGAGCATACAAAGTGTAGAAACTACTGGTAGTACAAATGCGCCGGATTCCTTGTCTTTAAAAACAGCACGTGGAAATAGTTTACGAGCGCGTGCGTTGAAGGAACGCCGGAGCGGTCAAACCTCGCCGACATGTGGGCCAGGTCGCGTGCGGCCGGAAGCTGCCGTGAGTGCTGGCTACCACGCGTCGCTGGCGATGATATCGGCAGCGCCTGCATGCATGCATGCATGCATGCATCCATGGCCCTGTCTGTCGGTCAGCGGTAGCTTCACTTGAACCTTGAATGCTCCGATTGCGGCTGCCGCGGCAAATAGTAGTAGCTTATATACGCCGGAGCGGAAAAAAAGGTTTTCTTGATTTAATTTGGCCGTAAACGACACACGTATACGCCATCGATCGTCCACTTCCTTGTCAGCTGCGGCAGGAACAGCGCGACCGCCCGCCCCGGTAGCCCATGGTATACAATGACATGTGGTTTTCGTTAGTTATCCATTTGATTTTTTTTATGTAAGTTATCCGTTTGATTTTGAAACAGACAAATCTTTTTTCTTAACAAACATCATATTCCTACGCACGTAATAACACGTTGACAAAAACTATAAGCACTAGTTTAATTTAGCCCTTAACTTCCCCCGCACTTTTAGCTAACCCTCATTAGGTTGAACTACTATACGTAAAGTTTTTATAAAATCCATAAGTAGGAATAGCATTGCTCTTTTACTAAACAAACATTAGCTTAGCTCCTACAAATAAATGTGCCACGATTAAACTGCAAAGCTTTCTGAATTTCACATAATGCGATCTGTTGCATCCACATTTTATACTGGTGTGCACACTAGAATTGTTTTCTAAAAAGAGTCTGATTGGTACTTTGAACATGTGATCGACCAAATGAGAATGTGGAAATAAAGCACAATAAATATGCACAAATATACTTAGTAGCATGGAAAAGATATTAGTACATAGAAAAAACCCAAAGATTCAATCAACAATAATAAAAAAGGGAAATATCATCCATAAAAAATATGAAAAGCATACACATAACACAATAATCATTGCACACTACACAAATGCACATTTTGAAACTGTTGAACCAGTCTATTATATTTATGATGTGCAACTGGCCAAAATAAAATTTGAAAATAAAAGTAAATCATCAAATATATTAGTAGTAGAACTGAATTATTCAAAGTTTTAAGTATACATGTTACTAATTTCGGGACGTGCAACTCGTATATTTAAAGTTCAACAAACCAACTTAAAAAAAAGTAAAAGGACCAGAAAAATAGTTATGCACATTACCAATAATAGAATGGTTGCATAGTTTCAAAACATGTTGCTAAATCTCAGATTTAATCAACTCTTAGTCGATGCTATGCTCATAAGATTTTGCATGGAGATCCGTGAAAATTTTCTTTTTTTTATATGCTATGCTATTTGACTGAGACTTGAAAGTGCAATCTCAGTGAAATTTTGATTTCCCTAGAAAAATCAATCAGTTATTGAAGAAAAAAGTGGAGATCGGTTGAAATTTCAGCGCAGTGTAGGATATTCATTCCCACAGTTTGCAGAGAATGATCAGCGGTACGTACCGGAGACATCTTCTCTATTACACCACTAATTTTATCCATTTGATCAGGCCATCGATATCGTTCCGTGCAAAGTCAAAATAAACTAAGAGCACGGAGCTGGCGAAAATTACTCTTCAACCAATCTACGCATGCAGTGGCTAAACTTCAACGGTACCGGTGTTTCATGCCCACAGAAACGGAATCTTTCAAGCGCAAAGGAGTAGAAGAACAGAAAGGACCAAGCAAGGGGTCGATCGATAATAGAAGGATGAATCACAAAGTCAAAACGTGGAGCCGCTCTCATCTCGTGGTCAGCGCCGTGGGCCAGCTCAACACCGACCCCCCAAGTCAATCCAATTGAACCCAACCCAACCCGTTTTACTGTGTCATTCCATGCAATAATCTCTAATCTCTTGTGAACACGCGTGAACTTCTTCGCCTCCCTGCCACCCCTATAAAACGCACACCTGCTTCCTCTCCCCTTTGTTCAACTCTACGGCAACTTGGTCAGCTTCTTCCGCTCTCCACCACATCCATTTCCCGAGCAATCTCTCGCGACCTAGCTTCTTCTTGGATCTTACAGCAGGCTATGGCGATGGAGGGGCCGTCGGTGGAGGTGCCGCCGTACTTCCTTTGCCCGATCTCGCTGGAGATCATGCGGGACCCCGTCACGCTCGCCACCGGCATCACCTACGACCGCTGCAGCATCGAGCGCTGGCTCTCCGACGGCCACGCCACCTGCCCCATCACGCAGCAAAAGCTCGCGGAGGCCGACCGGGAGGCCACGCCCAACCACACGCTCCGCCGCCTCACCCAGGCCTGGTGCGCCCTGCACGCCGTCGAGCGCTTCCCCACCCCGCGCCTGCCCCTCGACGCCGGCCGCGTCGCCGCTATCGTCGAAGAGGGCCATGGTGCGGGCAGGCAGAAGGAGCTGGCCGCGCTCCGGGAGATCAAGTCCATCATCGCCGAGAGCGACCGCAATAGGCGCTGCGTTGAGGCCACGCCCGGGGCCGTCGAGTTTCTCGTCTCCGTCTTCAGGAACCATGCCACCATGTCCAAGTCGGCAGAAGATTTGTTAGAACTGTCTCTGGATTCCCCGTCGTCCACGAGCTCGCCAGAGGAGGACGCGCTCAGCGTCATCTGCTCGCTCAAGCCGTCCAAGAAGAGCCTGGTCCGGATCCTCGAGAAAAACGGAGACTTCCTGGACACCCTGGTGTACATGCTGCGGCGACCCAGCTACCGGTCCCGCTGTTACGGCATCCTCCTGCTCAAGGCGATGGTGTCTGTGATGGAGCCGGCGCGTCTCATGGCGGTGAGGACCGAGGTGGTGCTGGAGGTGGTGCGCCTGGTGTCCGACAGGGTGTCCACCAAGGCGGTGAAGGCGGCGCTGCACGTGCTGTGCCGGCTGTGCCCATGGGGCCGGAACCGCGTCAAGGCCGTGGAGGCCGGCGCGATGACTGTGCTGGTGGAGCTGCTCCTCGACGAGGGTGGACGGCACCCGACCGAGCTGGCCGTGGTGGCCATCGACCATCTCTGCGGTTGTGCGGAGGGGCGGTCGGACTTGGTGGCGCACCCGGCAGGGCTGGCCGTCGTGTCCAAGAAGGCTATGCGAGTGTCCCTGACCACCACCGAGAGCGCGGTGCGCGCTCTGCACGCCGTGGCAAGGCATTCGCCGACGCCGGCCGTGCTGCAGGAGATGCTGGCCGTCGGGGTGGTGGCGAAGCTGCTGCTGGTTCTACAAGTGGACGCCGGCGAGCGGGCCAGGGCCAAGGCCAAGGAGCTGCTCAAGATGCACGCTAGGGTTTGGAAGGACTCCCCATGCTTGCAAGCGCACCTCAAGGCGCATTACCCTTGCTGATTTCGTCACGCCGATCGTCTTCGTTAGGAGGAGGAGCACATTGCTCTCTTTCAAACTCTCTTTGTACAGTAATTATCTACACAGAATATTCAAATTGCTTAATTGATTGTAAATAGTTAATTGGGAGGAGGAGCGCATTGCTCTCTTTCAATGTCTCGTTGTAATTATCTACACAAATTGTCATCAATGATTGATTGTATAATAGCAACCCCAAAAAATGATTGTAAATAGTTTTTTAAGGGCATCTCCAACGCCGATTCTTAGGGCATCTCCACTAGGCTCCCCAACAGGCCTCCCAAGAGCACTTTTTTAGCGCCGGTTGTAAAAAATCGTCCCAGTCAGGCACCCAAGACCTTATTTTTAGCCGGATTTGACAAATGTTACGGCCGGCGCGCCCACCCCACACCCAGCTCTCAGGGGGGCGGGGGGGAGGGGGCAGCTGGGGACGCCGGCGTTTGCCTTTTGCATGCGCAGGCCCACCTGCCAGCGTCTCTCCCGTCCCTTTCCCTCCCTGGCCCACCCACGTGCTCCCCTCCACACACCCATCCCCTTTCTCTCGGTTGCAACTCCTCTCTTCTCCTTCTCCTTCTCTCGCCTCGCCGCGCACAGGGACGGCAGGATGAAGGAGCTCCGGGCCGGCTCTGCGCCTCCGCATCTCCGCATCCCCTGGCTCCGCTCGCCGGCGGCCTCCTCCGTCCCCCGCGGCCTCCGGTCCTTCCGCACGCACGCCGTCGCAGCCATGGCGACCTCCTTCACGTTCGGCAATTTCAGCGGGGCGGGATCCACCTCATCCTCCCCCTTCTCCTTCTCCACTGCCCCATCCGCCTTCTGCTCCTCCCCCGCCCCCGCGTTCGCCTCGTCCCTCGCCCCCGCCTTCGGCTCCTCCCCCGCGGCCGTCCTCCCCTTCGCCGTCGTGGCCCTGGCATTGGCGGAGGAGGAGGAAGCCACGTGGAGCGCGTCGGAGCCGGCATGCTTGGCTCCGTTGGCGAGGAGGAGCTCCGCGATGAGGCACTCGTCCTCGGCGTCTGCGGCGCGCCACGCGGGGTCGCTGCAGTCGAGCGCCTCGACGGCCCCGGTGATGACTACTTCCCGAAGTCGAGTGCGGACATGGGCTCCCTGACGGAGGCGCCGGGCGCCACCACGCTGTGCAGCAGGAAGGCGTCCTCCCTGCGTCGTGCACCATGCCGTGCTTGGGGGTGGACACGGCTGGGCAAGTTTTCATCCCCAGGCAAAAAAAAATCGCCGGCAGCCCCCCAAGCGGCGAAAAAAATGCCTCCTGGGGGGCTCAACGGCTGGAGATGCCCTTAAACCACCCACAACCGTCTGGACCGCGCAATCCGAACGTGTTTTGCCATCCAACGTGATCCAGTGTCGGTCTACTTGGCGGTCTGGACGCACTTTTTCCCGTAATCCGGAGACAAACTAGGGTGGCTTTGAGGGCGTTCGACCCACCATTAACCGCCTCCCTCACCCGCGCGTGCTTCCCGCCCGAAACAGTCAGCGCTGCTCTAGTGCATCAATACCGCTTCATGCCCGAGCGGACCTAACCTCTCACTGCTGCCGACATTAAAGTGGGGCGGCTGAGAGAGCGCCGCCCGCGCCGCTTCCCGGTGCAGGCGACTTCTCCGTGTTCAAACGAGACCCCGCCGGTCCATTGCCCTACATTAATATTATGTGATTGCCGTTGAACCTACTCCGACATCACCCGTCTGCCTGTCTGCCGCCCACCATTAACCACACTGCCGCGGCCCATTGCCATCCACCCAGTATATAAACTCCAACCCTGGCCATAGCGCAGTTATCCTCCTCCGGCCCATGTCTCCTCTCCGCACCATGCCTGCCATGGCCTCCTCGCACTCCAAAGCCCTCTAAGACAGCGGCCTCTCGTCGGAGCAAAAGGAGATGGCTGCCATTACTGCTAGCTGGAAGGCCGGCAGGAAGACGAAGGACGACGACACCCCAATGGAGGATGAGCCGGCACCACCCTCCTCGCTGGTGCATGCTGGCATCACCATCGGCGAGGCCCATGCCCATTACATAGACATGGTGCGGGAGGAGCGGGAGGCCAAGTTCCAGCAGGCGCAAGCCAACCAGGCCTACAACCTTGGCCTCCTCGACGAGCACCGGCATGTAGAAGAGCAACTTGCTGCCGGCACGCCGATCACGCTAGACGTGGACGTGGCGGACCAGGAGATGTTGCTCGACTTGTATCGCTCCGCCCGCGACATCCGCCGCGACCGCTGGCGGTACCGCCTCCATCAGGCGGAATTGGAAGCTGCCTACAAGTAGATGGACGAGGCGGCAGATGAGGTGTTAGGTAAGGGCAACGATGAGGAGTACATCACCATCTCCGCCAAAGCCGCACACCGCTACTACGACCACGAAGCTAGCACGTCCACAGGCACCACCGACACCTAGGAAGAGTAGTGCATGGTGGGTCACCGCCACCCGGGTCTCAAGAAGGCCACAGCTTCTCCCCTCCTGTTGAAGCCAAGATTGTTGGTGTGACGCCCGGGTAATCAAGCTAGAGTAACCCTCTGGCAATGATGCCACGTCACCTCGATTATCGTTGATAATCTTATGTTAGTTCAGAACCGATCCAAATTCAAATTTGAATTAAAACCAAAATAATTAAAGTTTTCAAAAGTCAAAACTAAATTGTTCCTAATGTGTCAAATAATCCATAATAAATGTTGGTGAAGAAATCATATTTTAATAAAAAAACTTAAATGCACTAAATAAACTAAAACAGCGATAAAACAATTATCTAAAATGCTTTTAAGATAATAAGCAAATGCAAAATACTTTATTTAAAAGTGTCAAAATAATTGGGGTTGTGACCTATTTAATAACACCAAATTAGTTGTCACTTTTAAATTTTATAAAGCTAAAATAAAAGAAAACAGAAAAGGAAATAAAATAAACAAAAGAAAAAGAAAATACAAAACCAGAAAAACAAAACTAGCAAAAAAATAAGAAAAGGGGAGAGGCCCCGCCCCTCACTGGGCCTTCGGCCCAGGGCCCAGGTAACCTCCAGGCCGGCCTAGCCGCGCCTACCTAACCCCCTCACTCCCTCGCTAACCCTAACCGGTCGCCCCGTTCCCCCCACTCCCTCCCCACGTGCCCCCACTCCCCCACGTTTTCCCTCGCTCCTCTGCCCCCCGTCCCGATCCAGATCGAGGGGCGGCGACCGCGCCCCGCGCCCTCCCCCATGACGCCGGCGCCCGTTCCCGGCGCTGCCCCGCCTCGCTGGACGCCCCGCCACCTCGACACCGTCGCCTCGCCTCCTCATCTCATCCTCGTCGGGTGACCCTGAACCATGCCGACTCCGCCCGGAGCCCGCCTGGACCTCGCTGGACTCCCCCTCGCCGACCTGCTTCCTCTCCGCCGTCGTCTCCGACTTCCTCCTCAACCCCCGCTGCCTCGAACCCTGCAGCCACGGTGAGGCCCTCGGCCTCCCCTTCCCCTCGCCCGCAACCGTCCTGTGCCCGCACGCGCCCGCTGACCACTACCGCCCCAGGTCGCGCCCTGGTCCTTCTTCCCCTACCCTGCGTGATGCGCTGCTGCTACTGCTTGCTGAAGCTTCTGCTCCCGCTCGAGCCGCCCGCGCGCGCACACGCTCGCCGGCGCTGTCAGCAACTCCCGCGCGCCAGCCGCACGTGCCCTCCTCCCCTGTGCCCGCTCACGCGCTCCGACAGCCGGCCGGCGCCCCACCGTGCCCCCTGCTCCTAGCTGTTGCTGCCGTGCTGGACCCTGTTCCCTCGCCACCGCTCGTTGGAGCCGCCGCGTCGCGCCAAGCCGTCTCTCACGCTGACCCGTTCACCGTGCCCGGCGCCCGTAACCACCACCGCTCGCCCCGCGAGCGCTGCCCCGCCTCGCCGGCGTTGCTGCTGCCTCGCCGCCAGCGGCCGGACTGGCCCCGTCGCGCCGCTGGTCTCGCCCGAGGCCAGCGCCCGGGTTGGCCCCTGTCGGGCGCCCCCGCGCCCGTTTCCAGTAGCGTCCGCCCCGGTTTGGCCCCCTGGGGCCTATGACGAACGGGGCCCATGCCCAGAACGAAAATGAAAATATATATTATAAATAATTAAAAAAATAAATTAATAATAAAATTAATTAATTAATTAGCTAAATAATTAACTTAATTAATCATGTTTAGTTAGCTAATTAACTTAATTAACCCGTGTTAGTTAACCTAATAACCTAATTAGTCTTTTTTAATCTATTAGGTTAGTAAAACAATGTATGACAAGGGGGCCCCACCCCCTGTTGACCAGTCAAAGTTTGACTGGTCAACTGGGACCCCTTGGACCCACATGTCAGCCCCTCTGGTACACTTATGTGTACCCAGAGCTGGGTGCACCTAGCAATTCACATTATTTCGAACTAAATTAAATTTAGAAAATGAATAAAACTTTGAAAATTAATATAAAATAATCCGTAGCTCGGATGGAAAAACTTTGTACATCAAAGTTGCTCAGAACGACGAGACGTATCCGAATACGCAGTCCGTTCGTCCGCCACACGTCCCTAGCATAGTGAACACGCAACCTTTCCCCTCCGGTTCATCTATCCGAAAACGCGAAACTCCGGGGATACTTTCCCGGATGTTTCCCCCCTTCACCGGTATCACATGTCCCTACGTTAGGTCACCCCTAGCACAACGTATTGCGGCATCTTGCTTTGTGTTACATTTGATTGCTCTATTACTTATTGTGTTCCCCCTCCGTTACTTATTTCCGATAGACTCCGAGACCACTGCCGATGTCCGTGTGTTCGACTACATCGGAGATGACCCCTCCTTCTTGCCAGAGCAACCAGGCAAGCCCCCCCCCCCTTGATCACCAGTTATCGCCTACTCTTCTCTATACTACTTGCATTAGAGTAGTGTAGCATGTTACTGCTTTTCGTAAATCCTATCCTGATGCATAGCATGTCCTTGCTACTACTATTGTTACCTTTACCTGCAATCCTAATGCTTAGTATAGCATGCTAGTTTATCATCA